TAAAAGTTGAATTGAATAATGATAAAAGATTCTTAAGCTACAGGCAAGGAAGGAAGTGGTACACAGCTTCTCTGTTACATAAAGAGGATGGGGTCTACTTTAATAGTAATCCAAGCAGGACCCAAAATTTGGATGCATTGCATTGTTTTCCTAAGGATAATGATGTTTCTTATGAATCCAGAGACAGCAGATGATGGGAATGTGGGTATGGAAGAGGTTGCTATTGCATGCAAATCAATACAGAGGGAGATACAGCAGAAAAACATGGGTGGAACGTAACTCCAGAAATCTTTAAGGCCTAACTTGTGATGCTACAGGCCTGTTGTTATTCTTCTCTAGATGAAGTTGTTAATGGATAACAGTGGAAGTTATTACAAGATGAGAGAACAGCAGGTATTGTATGTTACTTGAAGGACAAAGACAGTCTAGTAAGTACAGCCTTTCAGAGGTAAAAAAACCAATTGCTTTTAGGATGGAACAGTTACTCTCTATAAAAGATATTATTCTCTGTGGTAAAAAGAGACTGGTGTTGAGGACTCAGGAATATTTCTAGTTCAGCATTCCTTTTTCACAGCTGCTTGATGTGGAAATGTACTGAACTTCCTCTAATTCAGGTAGGTGCTGCTAGGTGGAATAGAATCAGGTGCTTAGTAGCTTGTTTGCACTGAGTCTGCAGTCAGTCAAGTGAAGCAGGTTTCCTACAATGGGCAACTCTGCAGTGCTGGCAACTCTGCACAGCTGGGCCTGGCAGCTCTTGGATCTGCCAAGAGAAAGGAAGCCCTCTTAACATAGAACCTGAGGTAAAGGTTTGGATGAACTGGTTGGGTGTTGTCTTTTTAGTAATCTTCTGTTGCATGTGTTCAGATCCCTATCTTCTCTCCACCATTTATGTGGGGAACCAAAATTCTGGACTGTTGGAAGAGATGGATTTTGTATTGGGCTTTGCTTGGAAGCCAGAATTCTAATTAAGGGGATGTTATGTTAATTTAGGAGATAAACAGCTACTTCGTTTTTGCTGCTTCAGATTTTGAGTTGGAGATACTTTGTCTGAAAATGCTCCTTAGTGGTCTTTCTAAGACAGCTGACTTACAGAGTGGTCTGTTAGAACTTTGATAAAGACCATAAGTGATGTAGCTTGAGGCAGATAACCTGTGCTTACACTTTTCTTTGAAAATAAGAGCTGTTTTCTCTCAGTCACTTAAAAGCACTTAGAGGTTTCCATCTGGTCACACTGTAACTTGTGTGTTTGTGTTGTAGCTGAAATCCTGGGGAACTTGGGATTTTACTCATAACTTTTTGTACAAAATGTTGGGGTTGTGTTAACACCCACCCCAGAAGGGAAGGGTAACTCAGCTTCTTGTTAAAAAATCCTTTGGGGTGGATTAGAGTGAAACAACACTGAATGATCGGTGTTTGTAAATATATATATGTAGGGTTTATTTTAGAACAATTTTGTTTCAAAGGAAAACAGGTATGTAGCCATTTTGGTTGTTCCCATCTGTAATAATACAGCAATGTTCAAGCATACAAATAAAACTTAAGGAAATGTATAAGGAAAGGAAGAGAAAGAAAGGATAAAAGTGGTAGAAGGAGTCACCACCTGCTGAATCCAGTGATGAAACTCGGTATTGCAGCTTCAATGTCTATTGGTTGAAGTGATGGTCTTGATCCATTGGGGATGGGGGAAGGCCCCCTAAACTCAAAGATTTCATGAGTCATTATACTCTGCAAGCTCAGGTGGGAACATCTAGTACCTCTCCTGAGGCGGAGAGTTTTACAGTGGTTAGTGTCAGGGGACATGTCATGAGTCTCTGACACCTTCTAAGAAGTTACAGCTGCCTATTATGTCAGCATCAGTCATGGTCCATTATGGTCTATCAACTGAGATGAATAGCCCAGGCTAGGTGTGAAATGTCTTTCGATGCTCCCTGGAGGGATTTTCACAGCAGAGTCATCATGTAAGGGAGGACATTGGCATGATAAGAAAGATTGTTCCACCTTGCAGGATTTGCCTCTTATCAACCTCTTCCCTTATCTGGAAATCCATTTTGTTGCTTCAGGTATGCAGGCCCTTCTGCACCTGGGATAGTTGGACAATAATATCCCCTTATCTTATCTCAGGGTCCTTTCACAGTCCAAATTAGGGGGCATATTGAAGGAGGGGTGGGCTTTGCTGGATGAGCAGCTCTTTTTTTTTAGTTTGCTACAGTGGACAGAAGTCTTTTGGTGATCTTACAATGTTTAAGCCATTAACCATTTCAGTCTCTTGCAGGTTGTCAGCTGTTTGTTTTAGGCAGTGCTTATACTCATGAACCCCAAGTCCCCAGGGGAGTTAGGCTGTCCAAATCCTCAGGATTTTAGTATTATTGTTGGAAAGATCAGACAACCAGTGCTTTTTGTATTACTCATCAGAAACGTACTGTAATTTAAAGCCCACTTCATAGTCATATCCGCAAAGCCATCATGGATGCTACTGCTGTGTTGATTCAAGATTTCCATTGTGCACCATGGAGACCAAGTTGTTGGAGCTCAGAACCTGTTTTGTCAAAGGCAAATACCTTTTTCTATACAAAGAAAGTCTTACTATTCCTGTCAAAACCATAGCATTATCATAAAAATGTGTATCCTAGGTTGCACAGAGCACCAAGGACCTAGGGAGAGGCGTTTTGTTTTCTCTTTGTCTGAAATGACATGATCTTGAAGCTAAACCAAATATTCCCTGGCCAGGTAGATTAAGTTACCTATTACAAAGATGTGGAAAAGTTTCAGACAAATCTGAAGAAATTTTGCTTATGATGTTGCAAAAGAAAACCTTTGTACTTCCATTTTAACAGTCTTCACGGTTGTAACAATCTACTGTCAAGTTTTATAAAGATGGATTTTCTATCATCTGTAGAGGCCTCCTTCAAGAACCCCTACAATCAGTGATCTATTGAAAAAAAAATGTTTTTCAGGCATTTACTCTTAATGGCTGGAATGTTAGACTTTTTGTTTCCCCTTACTTAATGTTCACTGCTCATTTTTTTCCATGAGTCACAGAAATGTGGGAGATGTTTGACTGTAGAATGGAAAATTTCTTACCTGATAACTTTTTTTAATATAACAGCAGCAGCATCTTCAATTTTACTTCCCTTAGTTTAGCAGCCAAGAAAAATGTCAACTTTGTCAATCCTTTTTGTAAACTATTTAGCCAGGTGGACACAGGTTGCCTGATTGGTAGTAGAGGAGTAGTACTAATTTATAGCCTTGAAATGTTTATGCAGCATTGAATGGCTTTTCTAAGACATAGCTGAAGAGGAGGATACATTGTGGTGCTAAACTATCTCTGGAATTGTAAAGAAGTGGAAAAAGTCTGATGTACCATGCAGTAATAAAGAGATACAGCAGCAGGAAAAAATACTGGCAAGAAATTTTGCATGCTTTTAATGGGTACTTTTAACTAATAGCTTGCACACACTGTTATCTTTAGGATTGTTATTTCCTTCAAAGCAGTATATTTAAAATCCAAATTAGTTTAAAACTATTATTACCTACCATGTCTTATTTGTGTAATATTCTATAATTGTCTTGTTTTTAAATTACTAGCAAATTTAATTTGTTAGCAAAGCTTGTTGCATTGCAAGTTAACGTTCCTCAATTACCTTTTGGAAGATGCTGTCTGTTGCAGTTTCCATTTACATTCTTGTGCTTTTAGTGATTTAAAAATAGTATCTCAGTTTCACACATATGAATTCAACCCTAATAGACAACAGCACAAGTCACTGAATTGAAATTACTGAATTTTGTATTCTGTATGGCAGAGGAAGTGAGGTATGTGTGTTGCATATTGAGTTTTGTAATGTACTTGGGAGTACAGAAGTCTGCATCTGTTAGACTATACATATGCCCTTGCAGAGTGGACACTTGGAAGACTTGAGTTCTGGTCTTTGGTGGTCCTGTGATATTTGTGAGATCATAAAACCAGGTGCAGTACATTAGGTCTGTGTAAATGTTATCTCGTCCCTCCAGTGTTTAATATAGAGAGTTACTTTGTCTTCTCATTCTGTTCCCTTCTATAAAATTAGGACAATTACAGGGGTATATGGTATATGATTTAGGCATCAGCTGAATAGACACTAGATTTGAGGTAGTTTAAATACATTATATTCTCAAAATAGCCTAAGTAATAGCTACAGTATTCATCTTTTAACACATTTAATATGTTAGAACGTCTTTTCAAATTTGCTTGAGGGAGGATCAGATTATGGAAGAATATAGCTGTCATTATGGCAACCTTGAAATTATGACTGCATAACAAATGAAAAAAAACCCAAACACAAAACAACAACCAACCAACACAACCAGCACCTCCACCCCACCCCAATATGAAAAGAAAAATTAAAACATTAATTGCATACAAATTCTTCACTAATTTCATGTGTAATCTCCTATTATTGCATAATTTTTCTCAGTACTGGTCATTACTTACTTTTTAGTCATATTTTTAAAGAAACTCCTCAGTTCTTAGGTCATCTTGTACATATTAGTGTTCTTAAAAATTAAGTGATTTGTGGTATTAATATAAATAAAAGTAGTAATAAAATTAAGTTGATCTATGATGATAGGTATTTCTTTGGTAGATAGTGTAATCTGGATATCTAGTATTCTGAGGATGTGCAACTGAGCAATTTAATTCCAAGTCAACGCTTCTGTATGGGTCTTTATTAAAAGAAAATTATGTATTTTTTTCCTGACTGTTTATTCAGGGATTTGATAAGCAAAGATTCAGCATAGGGTTTTGTTCAAAAAGATGCAGGCATCATAGGAAACCATAGAGTTATGCAGGAAAGATATTCAGGTAAAAATGTCTTGAAATATAGTTTTATTATGCAACCTGAATTTGTCTGAAGCCCCAATTGTTAGCTGTTGTTGTATTCATTTAATTTTCGATATTTAACTCTTAACTGTGATATCTCTCTGTAAAAATTACTTTGTTCCTAATGTTTAAAATCTGTTTCCAGGCTGCAAGCTGCTATATAAACAAGACTTTGCAAGACGGTTAGGACTGAGATGTGTTTCTTGTAATTACTGCTCACAGCTGTGCAAAAAGGGAGCAACTAAGGAACTTGATGGTGTAGTGAGAGATTTCTGCAGTGAAGAGTGCTGTAAAAAATTTCAGGACTGGTACTACAAGGCAAGTAACTCAGAATTTTTGACGAGAGCTCCACAGTTAAAAAAACCAAAAATGCACATGTGAGGATATCTCAAGGACTGTGCAGCAAATATGGATTACTTCAACAAACCATTTGCTATACAATAAGCAAATGTATTAATTTGAGTTTTTTGTAGATATAGGAGCAGCATTTCTGTCATCAGATTTTATTAATTCATTTGGCAAGGAAGTCTTGAGTTACAGAAAACCAAGAAATTACTATGTTTGTATTTGTTACTTTACAACTCCAATTTTTTCTCAATTGATACCACATTTTTCTTGTCAAAACTTCTTAAATGTGTATTCAGAATGTTGAAAACACTGTTAGTAGGAGGTGGATACGTTGAGTTGACTGACAAAAAACTAGGTTAGCGGAGTTTTTCTTGTTCCTGTTTTTGCCTCCTTTTTTGCCTTTTCCCTCTTCCACAGTTTGAACTACAGAGGCTTATTCAAAGGGAAAAGCAAGACCAAATGGATTTCTAATAAAAGTTTAAATCAAACAGATGGCATCTATTTCTAAATCTCTGGAAGTTTAACTACCTTGTGAAGCACAACCAGCAAAGAGTTCACATTAAGAGGTTTTATTTACATTTTTTGAAAGAAAAAAGATGAAAACCTGCAATTAGTACCGTGGATAAAATATTTGATCTCTGTTGTGAACATCCTGGAAAGCTACATTGATAATATCAAAACAAGAACTTCGGTTGTGGATGCAATTGCAAAAAGACAGTACAAAATTCATCACTGTACCAAAACTCTGCACACAGCCTGGAAGGCAATAAAAGCTTGAAATGTTAGAGGGCTAGATACAAGTCCTGTAATTCAAGATGATCTACCTACCATAAAAGAACTGAATATGAAGACGTAGCTGGTATTTTGGAATGGCTGGTTCCAGAAATGTTACAGCCAAATGTTGTAAATTCTTTATTTTGAAAAATGTATGTAGGGTACTGTTAGACATTCCTAAAAAAAAACTACTGAAGACCATGTGTTTCTTTTGTCTCCTGTGAAAATAGGGGAAGAAAACTTGGCTGCAAAGTTCTTAACTAAAATGTTAACTTCATACAATAAGATTAAATCTATATGCCTTAAAACTTGGGATATGGGGTGAAATTTATCCCTGCATAAAAAGTGCCTTCTGATGGAGAACTTAATAAATCTTTGGTGTGCTTTAGAATCTTTTGGTGATTCAGCAAACAATATAGTCTGGGAGTGTGCATACCAAACTAGTTTTATGTACATAAGCTTCTATGGAAGCTTGTACTGTGATTCAGCTTTGAGAACCACTTGAAAACTTGGGCTTCGGATAACCCTGATTCATGGGATAAGGCTAATTGGCCCATGAAGTCTGCTTAAGAAATGCTTGATGGTACAGTGTTATGGGAAGGTTAGATATGCTGTTGTGAAAAGGCAATTTAAACAGATTTTCTGATAACTAGTGACTTTTGATATTTTTGATAATTTTGAGGTGTTAAATATTTGTACTTTTTGAATCTTACACTTGCTAGTGGAACTAGTGTTTCATTATGAAGAATTGTTGATGGTCATTTTTTTCAAGTGCTTCTTAAAGCCTTTACGTAGTTGGGTTTTGGTTATAAAAGGTTGGGATTTATTATATGGGGAAGACATATAATACTTTTGGGAAATTGTGTCTTTTGCTAAAATTGTCTTTTTTTTTTCTACCTCCTTGCTCGTAACTTCCATCACTTTTATAAAAGTCACTCCAGATATCGTAGATTTGGTAGTGTTTCAATAGCTCATATTCTTACCTAGCCATAAATAGATGATGATCAAAATGTAGGAGGACTGAATAGATAAGGACCACTCCCCGAATTTGTACTTCATTAGCTGTTCTGTCTGTTAGCTTCTTAAAAGAATAGTTACATATGTATGAGCTTTGTCTCATTTATGCAATGTTCAGTGTTATTTTGGAGTTTCAATGACTGTATACACAAAGAGAAATAAGTAGTAATAACCTAGTAATGTTTTAACACCATCATTGTGTTCATTAAACAAGTGTTTGTCTCCATCTTCTTTGTCTACTTTTTTTTATGAACACATCTTTCTCATGTAATAATATCTGGAAAATATTGTAATGTTTAGAAATAATCAAGTATTATGGGAGAACTTCCCTGAATGCCAAAATTCTCTTCTAAAAAAGCCAAAAGAAGTTAGCAATGGTAGAAGCACAACAACTGTTATCTAGAAGTGTTAGGAGTTAATCAGATTTATCTAGAATTGTCCTTTCAAACTAATATGAAGCATTGAAATATAAAAGAATAATTCAGCCCTAATCATCTGTTGGGCAGCAGCTACAGTTACCAGTTGGTGCCAATTTCTGAGGAAGTTTCTGCTCTATGGTGTCCATGCAGCTCCAAGACAAGAGGTAAAATTGTTGGTATCTTGAGGTTAGCTCCCCAAGTTATTAGACATTCTCCTGTAAACTTGCATGCAATGGTTTAGATATTAATCTGAAAAATGCCAGGGGAATTTCAGTATAAATGACTTTAGTAGCCTGATGTTTGATGACCATTTCAATCATTTGATGTTATCCTAGAGCATTGAAAGTACCTTGAAAAAGAATATACAGTTCTGAGAACAGCCCAGAAACCTGTTTCTTTAAACATACATTGAGAAACATTGCTGAAAGTACTACAGCTGAAGTGCACACAGGTCATTCGAGGCTACAGTGGAGAATTGATTAGACTCAGCATGTACAGTGGTGACTGTGTATTCAGTGGAGGTCAGATGTCTGCAGCAAAGAGGTAGGGGTGGGGAGCTACAGTCCGAGGCATAGCAAAATTATTGTGGCTGGTGAGCTCAGATAGCAGTGATTGTCAGCAGTGGTAAAATTTGAAACTGGAGCCAGCGTTAATCAAAACGGTAAAGGCAGCGAGGCAGCCTTGTGGAATTTCTCTTATCTGAATTCAGCCGTTCTGTAGATGGCATCTCGATTTCCAGTAAGTACTCTTTCAGAACAGTTGATCTCCTTTCTGATAATCATTCACTCTCTGGAAACATCTTTTGCTTCTTATTTATTGCAGTTGAAGTTGTAATAGACAGCTAAGATTAGGCCAAGTTGATACCATTTGAGAACATTTAGGAACAGGTGATGGAAGGATTAAAAATGTAAATAAAAGCCCCACATATGAAAAGTTTGTTCTTTAAGCCAAATTTGGGGCAGACATTAGTGCTTTATACTAATCACCATGCCCATTTGAACATGCTAAAGAAACAGGAAAAGAAATATACCAAAAAGTAGTTATGAGTTGCAAAGGACTTAATATGCAGCTGAAGCATAGGAAGTAGAGATGGGCTTTTTGGAAACAGAGATAGAGCAGACTTGAAGGCAGGTATTTTGGAGAGTCAGTTATAGTGACAGTATTCCAAATGAAAACAAACGGAAAGGGGAAGGAAGGAAAAAGCAGAAAGTCATCAAATCATAGAATGTCATGATAACCATTAATTTACTTTCATTAAATGTCATGGTCAGGGCAGTGGGTGAGCAAGAAGGTAGCAGGAAACTTCGGTGTGTGGAAGGGTGTATGATACTGACTGTAAGCATGATTATGGAAATGGTAGAATTATGGTGGAGCAAATGTAGGGATGAGAAGTGAGGCATTGCTATAAAGGAATCTCAAACTTGCTAAGGAGTAGTAATTTCCATGGGGAAGCAAACCAAAATTTTTTTTTACCAAATTAACTTGGTAACAGCTCAGGAGAGACAAAGGCCTAAAGCAAACAAGGAAAGGGAGAAAACAGTTACAGGAATCATAGAATCATGGAAGAGTTTGAGGTTAGGGGACTTTTAAAGGCCTTCTAGTCCAACACCCCTGCAATGAGCAGAGGCATCTTCAATAAGATTAAGTTGCCCAGAGTCCCATCCAACCTGACCTTGAAAGTTTCCAGGGATGTGCTATCTACAGTCTCTCTGGGCAACCTGTTCCAGTGTTTCACCTCCCTCATTCTAAAAAACTTCTTTCTGATATCTAATCTAAATTGACCCTCCTTCAATTTAAAACCATTACTCCTTGTCCTATCACAATAGACCCTGCTGTAGGAAGGCTGTAGTTGCTGGATTTGACAAGATTTGGCCCATTTTTCTTTCTTTGAAGGAGAGAAAAAATTGAGCAAAAAGTGGTGCTTTGATAGTCAAGCAGCTTGCAACAGGTCAGAATAGATCAGCTTTTCTGTACGTGGGTCAGCTGTCAATCAGTGTTAGGTGGGGTGGAGATTTAAAATTACAGTGAATTATACGTATTTTTTTTTCTACTGGTATTTTAGTCTTTTGGTGGCTTTGGAAGATGCATTTACATTAAAGGTGTGAATTCACAGCTTCCCTGAACTGATAAGTCTAGACTATTTTGGCAACACTCTACACTTCATCTTCTTCCCCACTCCCTTCCAAGAATACAATTTACTTGCTCTTTTGTCCCACTGAGAAGATATCTGCTGCAAAAAGAACTGTGGATCAGCATCAGTGGAAAGTCCAAGTGATAAATGTAACAAATTTGAGGGAGGATGGGGATAATGCAGTGCTGTAAGGTCTCTGACTTTGTGTGCCCTGCAGGTACCGAGCACTACTGCTGACACCTGCATAGAGGAGGGGGAGGAGAAATACCTGCCCTTCCAGGGGCACCTCGTGCTAAGCGTGAGGTGATCCTGAAGCTGCAGCTTTAATTGCTCCCAATTTAAAGCTGGTTATACTGTTAGAACAGAGTCTCTACATATCATCTTTAAATACTTGAAAATTACAACTGAGAGCTTAGTTTCTTACATTGCCAGAGAATGGTGCCAGACTGTTCAAGTACAGAGAAGGAACGAAACATTTAATTATTTTTTAAATTTGAACTAATTGGCCTGTTCATACGTTTTTGGAGTCACTAAAACTGCAATTGGACTTCTTTTTGGTTTGTTTTGTTTTTTAGCCATCAGAGCCTTGTGGTAACTGCAATGTTGTGTATGGTTTTATGTATTAATGTTTTATGTTGCATATTATAACTTCCCTCTTCCTCTTCTGGCTATGTTATTAGGTTGACTTACTTTGGATTCCTGAGCATCTATAAAGCTTTTATTTTTTTAAGGTCTGCTTTAGGGTGGAGGTTGCAAACAATATTGAGGCAAGCTGTAGTGCAAACAGTTCTTTGCTTAGTTGAAGATGTGAAACTGGGGTCACCACTGTTCAAATAATAATTTATAGCATGGCAGATTAAATGCAGTGGAATCTATTTTGGAGAAAACCCGTATCTGTCTTGTGATGCCTCGTGAAATACCATGTAGACTGGTGAAAGATAATGTTCAAGTTTCAAGTTAACGTGCCAACTAGATTTTGGGGAGCCCTCTTTAGTTTGAGAGCAATTGTGGTTTATAAATCAGAGAGAAATTTGGACAAACTAAAGAACCGGAATCTAAAATTGTTGCCAGACTACTAAAATAATGGAAATATAAAACCTATTTACACTAAAGGGCTGATTTGATACCTAGAGAAGTGATTCTGTTGGTGACTTAAACCCATCAAACTTTGGAGGGGAAGATAAAACAACTATTTGTCCTCAGTTCAATAGGATCATTAAGGAGTCCATCACTTTCTGCTCTTGTTTTGCAGAATGCTTCAATGGAATTAATTAAAATTGATGCATAAAATTAATTTTTTTTGCTGACTGTTTAGAAGTGACCAATTTTTAAAGACTTAGTGAAGAATTAGTAAAACAAAGTAGATTTATTCAGGGTGTTAACCCCCAGCAAACAATGAAGAATGAGTTAGAAGTTAGAAGGTAGCATAACTATTGTAGATGAGCGAGACTTGACTGTGTAGTGGTAATGAGTCCTCAGTACTCTTAAAAATGTGAAGTTTTAAAATGTAGAAATAATTTTTTTCCAAGCCTTGTTTAAAAATGTCAAAATCTTCCTTTGCCTTAAGGCTGTACGGTGTGACTGTTGTAAGTCTCAAGGAACTCTCAAAGAGAAGGTGCAGTGGCGCGGCGAAATGAAGCACTTCTGCGATCAGCACTGTTTGCTCCGATTCTACTGCCAACAAAATGAACCAAATCTGGCAACCCAAAAAGGACCTGAGAACTTACACTATGGTATGTGCTGCTTTTATGGCTGATAAATGTCGAACAAGATGCTTCCTTTAAATGAAAAATTGAAAGCTGCATGAATTATTTATTTATTGTGATAAACTGCATTAGGGATTATCGTATTTATGTTATCATGAGAGGCATCATTGAGCTGTTTTGGGTTAAGTGTAACTTTAGTATTGTATCACTGTGGGAACAGAAAATGTTTTCCTCTTTTCGTTGTGCTCCAGTTTGTCATTATTTGCTCTGTGGAAACGCTTCTCAAAATCCCTTTTGGTCACAGAGAGCAGATAAATGCACTAGGAATGAAAAAAAATAAATTAAAAGGAAGTAAGTGAAATGGAAATGAAAAGAGAATGGAATAAAAGTATCTAGATAAGAGGAACACACTGCTTTTTTTCCTTTCTGTTGGTAATAGGTACTATGTAAATTTGCTGATGGACACTCAGTGCAGATTTATATGATATTAGGGCAAGTCAGGCAAAGGTCATGTAAATCAGCTTTTAAATTAATGCAATTATGGCAACACAGCTTCTTTGTATAACTGTTTTCATATTTGTATTCAGACCTGGCTAGAACACTGATTTAGTGTTTGCCTTTGTGTAAGACTCAGTACCGAAGTAGAGAGGTGCCTGTGAAGGAAAAGTCTTGGGTGCAGTTCTCACCTGCAATAAATATAGTGCTCATCAGTGCTGTTAATTTAATGTTATATTGATCAGAGATGTTGTCTTGAGTTGCTTACTGAAATTTGCTTTGATTTTGGAGAAGGGGAAAAACAATTCTAAAAATGTTTCCTTATACTTTTAGATCAGGGCTGTCAAACCCCCCGGACAAAAATAACGGTAAGTACATATATTTAACACACACACACGCTCATAAATATATATCTATATATAAAAAACATAACTAGATATATTTTAAACTTGAGATCCTGGTGACTTAAGGGGATGCTATTAAAAAACAAAAATTGGTCTCTTTGAATGATAATTTACAGAGTTTTTTAGTCTTCTTCACATCAGTAGTTAAAATATTCATACTTTGTCTTTTTAATGTCTTCTGGGAAACTAAATCATCGACCATTTGTTTTACATCTATAATGCATTCAAGAGTTGCTTAAAAGTTAGTCAACAAACTGTGTATCTTATTCACATGTTTAGACCAACTGGGTGTATTTATTGAGTATGGAAAGGGAAGAGAATTTCACTGGCCAATTAAAATATGAAGATTGTAGCTCAGCTTTGAAAGGCTGAAAATAAGGCTTCAGATCTTAAATTTTATAATTCCCAAGAGTAGAATGCTCTAGGTGGTCAAGGTCTGATTGGCTTTGCTGCAGGTGGCAGAGTAGGGAAGCATAACTAACCTTTTGTGGGATTGCTGTCTGGGAGAGTGGGGATCATAAGTGAAGCAGCAGCCTTCATTTTCAGTTTTGGTTTTTGTCAGCTTGTCAAAAGTATTAATATTGTTTTCAGTTAGCCTAGGGTATTTTGTTTGAAACTTAGTTTTGTTTTGATTTATTTGTCACATGGAAGGTCTCAGAACTGCCTATTTTTACCAAGTAAAAAATTGACTCACCTTTTAAATGCAAATAGGCATTAAAGATAAATCTTAGACTTAAGTGAAAGTTTTTTGATGGCATTATAAATATATTTATGAAAAACACAGAAAATAAAATTGCTTAGGTAATTAGAGACATCAGACAAGCTAAACTGTCATGTTTAAAATTTCTAGTATTTTATGTTTAATGATATTAATTCAGTCCATAAATTTTTAAAGACCATGTCAAAGCTATATGTGATACAGTATTTTTAAATATATTTTAGAAAGTGTACAACTGTTAGAGTGTACTGCTGCCCTTGGAACTTCACTTTCTTTCCATATTTAAAAGGACATGTGGGGATAGTCTTCCTACATATATATGACTGAATTAAACTGAGAGTTTGTTTCTTAAATCAGGTTCCAAAACAGGTGCTAGGGTGCAAAAATCATGTCTGGAACAAGGGGGATTTTTTTACTTCTTGACTGTAAGGATGCAATTGGAGCATTATGGGATGTTCCCAAGTATTTGTTGTCGCTATTGTAAAACCAGTAGGGGGAGCTCGAAGTTCATACTTTAGGTACTAAAAAATTGTTTAGAGAAGTTTTATTCAGAAGTACTTCTTTTTTTTTAAATGGGATCTTTAGATTGTAGCATAATTCAAGAATGCTATAGTTTGCTATTCTGCTTATAGTGAATTCTTTTTACAGCTAAAATTACTGATACATTATGAAGGTGCTTAAATTGCACTTTCATCTGATCAAGAATGTAAAAAAAAAAATCTTTATCTTAAATTTAAAAACAGTAATAACAAAAAAAAAAGGGGGGGGGAGAAAAAAAAAAGAAAATTAGCTAGAATTTGTTATTCATAGTGCTAGCCCTGACTGAGTAAAATACAACTAAATGTTACATTCCTGGCAGTGGCACCTCATTACTAGGAATATAGAATAGCTTGAAATTATGGAATAGGAATTGGTCCTGTTGTGTTAAGCTTTTGTGAGCTTCCTCTTCAGTATCTTGTTTATGAAAAGTATCACTGGTACATTAAGTCAAGAACTTCATGTTGGAATCAGTGAGGAACAACAGCACGTTCTCTTATTTGCTTGTCTGCAGGGCTCAGCACCACCACCTTCTCCAACACCTAACAGAGAAATGAAGAACAAGGCAGTTCTTTGCAAGCCTTTGACAATGACGAAAGCCACGTACTGTAAACCTCATATGCAGACAAAATCTTGTCAGACAGGTAACTCCTGAACTGTGCTGGAACTACAAATTTCTTTATTGCAGATTTTTCTTAACTGTTATTTTCTTTGAACATATTGCAAATGTTCTGGGTTTTTTTTCCCTAAATGGCAGTTGTAAAATGTATTTAAATACCTGGTAGTGTTCATCTTTCTCTTTTTTCTTTTAACAGAAGATGATTGGAAAAAAGAGTATGTCCCAGTGCCTATTCCTGTACCCGTCTATGTTCCGGTGCCTATGAATATGTATAGTCAAAACGTTCCTGTTCCTACAGCAGTTCCTGTTCCTGTAAGTGAGACTTCAACTTCATTTTAAAATTGCATCCATTCACATGCACGTGTGGGACCACTTCATATTGTTGGCTGTTCTTGTTCTGGTCTGTCTAGAGCATTGCAGGATGCTGCAGCACTATATATTGAAAAAGCATTAGAATCTGCCAGCAGCACTTAATTTCCTGATTGTTCTTTAGTACTTATCTGCCTGCTTTCAGTGTGAAAATCTTGTGCTGCTGAACTTTTAAGGAACAGTTCTGACTGATACTTTGAGTTTGCTGAATGAACCTTCAACAGCAAGATTTGTTCTAGTAATGAGGAAGCCAAAAAGTTGTGTTGGGGAGGGATGGCAGCATGGGATAAACAGAAGGAAGAAAAGTAAAGGAAAAAATACCAAAACCTGAACTTGTACCAGCAAAAGAAAATAACTCTTAAGTTTATTTTGTTATCACTTATGTACCTCGTCTCATCCAAATGGTGGAAAAAACGCCCTTGATTTCCTAAAATTCTGTGTTTCGCAAACAAGCTATTAGAACAGGATGCTGGTTTGTCCAAACTGTTAGTCTGAAGTTGTAATCAGACATGTTTGAAGCTCCAAAGTTCCTTCTGTTCTTTCTTTGACGACCTATATTTTGTCATATTTTTTTTCTTCTGTATTCTTTCCTGCTTTTCCTTCTCTTCACAATCATTTATATTGAGCTTTTTTAACCTGTCAACACGTTTTGCTAGCTCACATTTGAGTGATTTATTTCTAATCTGTATTAACTCTGTCTTTTAGAAGAGGAGTGTAGAATTTTTTTCTGTCTTGGCTACTGTTGATGCTTTGTTGCAGCATTTTTTTCTTTTCTCTGTTATCTCTGCCTCCCTGTCTGCACAGGTGCCAGTTCCAGTTTTTTTACCCACTACTCCGGGTAGCAGTGAGAAAATCCATGCAGCAATAGAAGAACTGAGGGGAAAAGTGCCCTCAGATCCTCTGGAAACTGATCTACTGAACTTGTCAGGGATGGTGCCTGAACATGCTGGAAAAGCGGAAGCTTCTGATGTGACCGGTGAGTTTCCTTGTGAGTTTTTGGCTCATTGGAGTGCTGGGAGATGTGTGTGAATCAAGTGAAGCATTGGGTTCGTGGAGGAAGTTTGAGTACAACAGTACTGTTGTACTGTGTTGAGATCTTATATTAAGTTGCCCTGTGGTTTAACCCCAGAGGGCAACTAAGTACCACACTACCACTCACTTCCCCCACACTTGGTGGGGAGGAGAATCGGGAAAGAAGTAAACTTTGTGAGTTAAGAACAGTTTAATAATTGAAACAAAATAAAATATAATAGTTCTACTAACACTAATAAGTACAGTGAAGAGGGGAGAGAGAGAGAATAAAACACAAGAAGACTAAGTGATGCACAATACAATTGATCACCAACTGCTGAGAGATGCCCATCCTCCCCCAGGCAGCGTTCAGTGATTACCCAGCCAACTCCCCTTCATATACTGAACATGACATTCTGTGGTATGGGGTGTCACTTTGGACACTTCAGCTCAACTGTGTTAGATGTGCTCCCTCTCAGCTTCTTGCGCACCTACTCTCTGACAGAACACGTGAAACTGAAAAGTCCTTGAGCAATATTATTCTCATAATAAAAATTTATGTATCCTGTAACTATATTTTCTCAGTCCACATGTCTCTTTGTTCCTCTTTCCTGGCTCTGCCTGCCACAATCCTCAGGTCTCTTTTGTATCTTTCCAGGAAAATTTGCCTTCGCTCAGGTAAAATTTTGTGAGTTTCTTTCAAGCTCTTTTAACAGGTGTCTGAAAGAATGTTGATAAATTAATGAACAAAGGCCAGTGGAGCTGCAGTCCCAGGAGGCTTCTTGCTTTCCAAACTATTGCCACTCCCCTACTACAACTGCACATTTCTGGTGGTGCTGCAAAGTTGTCACTTGCAGTTCCTTGCTCTCTTTTGTGAAGTACAGCTAAATGAGTAGATATATGGCATCAGAGCTTACTCATTTGCAGAGGACTGAATTTGGAGAAATCTGTCTTTGCCAGAAGTTGGAAAGAGGTCAAACTTTGTTTCTCCCTGCCTGCTTGCCATGTTTGTTAAACAGATACTACAAAAAGAAACTTGAAAATCTGTTCTGTTATGGGAGAATCAGGTTGAAAAATAGATAGTTAGGTTTGTCAAGCTTGTTTGAGTTCTGTGATTGGTTGATATGATCCAGATTCATTAGTATTTGATTTTCTATACGTGTGCTTTGCTGACTCATCTTAATGAAGAGGACAAAGAGCTAGTAAGTATCTTTTATGTTTGAAGGAAGTCAGATTGGAGAAGTAAATCTGAGTTCTCAATAACAACAAAATGTAGGATGGTGATGAGCAGGACAAGCAGCTTTAGAACCACTTGTGTTGGTTAAAATAATGAGAGTTTTTCTTTTTTTTTTTAGCAAGTGTGATAGCTGAATCAAGTCTACTAAACTCAGAAACAGAGTCACGGATAAGCTTGCCTGATATTCCATATGAACCAGACCTTGATATTGAAATAGACTTTCCAAGAGGTAATTTTTCTGTGATTTTAATAAATACCGTGACATTGTGTGCATCCATTGTACCTTGTTTAATCATCCTTTCAGAGAAACTTAATGTGATTGCAGGATCCACATGAGCAACTGTTAGGTAAAACTTTGCCATGTTGTAAGACTGGGGACTTCTGAATTAGTTCTCCTATCTTTCTAAATACAGTATTTGAAACAATGCAAAAAAAAAGGGATTTTACCTTTCACAGAGAACTTAGCTGCATCATTTGTTTTGAACATGGATTTAGGAAAGCTGTTTTGAAGACTCAAGGAGTCAGCTGGCATATGTCTTGGAAAACATAATGGATGCCTTCTTTAGTTGCCAGGTATTTCCATGGTTTAGAGCAGAAATGACAATTGGCATGCTGCACACCACTTGTATTACATTTTAATATCTTGTTAATGTCCATACCTGTATTTAAAAAGGTAGCATTGTTTGAACTTGAAGCAGCAAAATCACTACTTTGAGACCTTTGTTGAAAGAAGCTCTTGGTTTTATATAGTACATTTTTTATCACTCTACAGAATGCAGGGGACAGTGTCTGTTTCCTTTCACCATGTCCTAATCAATCCAAGATCCAAGAATGCTTCTTTCTGGCTCTAGTTAGTGTCCCTCTTGACATAACTTCTCTTGGACATACAACTGATACCTTACCAGGGTAGCTTCTGTATCTAATGTTGACACTCTCCTTTTGTGTTCTGCCGTAGGTAACCACAGTAGATGCCCAGACTGGGTTTCTCACTTTGCTGTATGTCTATTTTAAAGAGAAAACCTGGGGGTTAGTCTGACCTTAATTTTAGGAAGTTTACTAGTCAGATGTGTACTAGATTTTTAACCATCTTTGTAAGTGAGGCTTGGTACATGAGAAAGGAAAACCAGGGAAGAAAAGAAATAAAGTGGAATAGTAACAACAGTCTGTAAGAGATTGATTACACTGAAGTGCTTCTGAGATAATAGTCTTTGTGGTAGCAGGAGAAGGACTGCTTTTTAGTCTAGGGCAGAGTTCATAAATCTTTGGATGTGAGTGCTGTTTCATCCGCACCAGTTTGAGAGGTGTCTTGAGAAGTAAGGTGGTAAAATCAGACTATCAGAAAGGCATTCAGTTTTGAGTGAAGACATTGTTTGATGGCTAAACGAGGGATGAACCATCTTCAGTAAAATAAATAAAGATGGAACTTCCAACATTAAATTCATATGTTGTCTCATTCCACTGTGCTGCTTGAAATAGAGTCCATCACCCTACCCATGAAATGTTAGGTAAATAGTATTTTGACAGATTACCATATATCTGTTTAACGAACTCACTGTAATATTCATCATGAGCTAGACCTCCACCACTTGTATAAATATAGACTAAAGCCAGTTTTTCTGAAGGGAGTTTGCCTTCTGGTTCTTAATATTTCTAATCAAATATAATGTGCTTTATAAAATATAAACCATATGTAGAAATGATAGAAATACATGAACAGAAGTGCATGTACTAATTTGTATTTTTTCCAGTCAAAGCTGTTCATTCTCACCATAAGTAAAACTTCTTGATACCAAGACAGCCTGGGCAGAAAAAATTATGTAAGAGCCCACTGTAAGAAATGCTGCCATGGTGATTTCAGATAATGTTTGAAAGTGTTGAGCATTGTGTCCTCTACAGTTTTTTTAGAAATAAACATTTTGACAGCTTTGTCTTACTTTAAATATAAGAATAGGTCTTTGAATATAAGAATCCAGTCTTTGGTAATGTTTATATTTGTGCCTTTGTGGACCCCTTATGTTAAAGCACACTAATGTAGCTCATTGTTTTTTTCAAAGCAGTATTATTCAGAGGATGTTTAGAAATAAGTTTCTGTTAATGTATTTTCAGCAACTGAGGAGCTTGATACAGAAAATGAGTTTTTATTACCTCCTGTTTTTGGTGAAGAATATGAGGAACAGCCAAGGCCTCGGTCCAAAAAGAAGGTAATTTTGTCATGCTTTTAAAAATATCCAAAAAAGCACAAAATTTAAGTTTAATTATCATACCGTTCTAAAACATGTTACTGTCTATTAATATCTAATATCCTATATTTATGATGTAAATTGATATATTTCAAATAATAAAATTGTTTCAGTCCTGTGTCTGTTGCAGATAACTGTTGGATTTAAGAGGAGTGTGGTTTGTAAATTCTGATCCCATTTTTGCTTCACAGTGGTAGAATTATTGATGTAATGTGCTAGTTTGTACTGTACCTGCTGTACTCTTAGTAATGCTTTTCTACCTTCTACTTTGAACAAAGCTGTCTTGGTTTAATTTGGTAGTAAAATGGAAGAATGCTGGCATTGCCGTGGCTTATAATGGGAGCTGTAGCATCTTCTATATAAAAGAGTTTTAAAAAAAAATTATTTCCTTGTAATTTTCCCAGATTTTATTTTCAGTCAATCTTAGCTTAGACATTGCAAAGAAATTATCCATATTCTTTTATTTAGAAGGACACTAACAGGAAATAATTTCCTGTGCCTGACACAAAGCTGAAATGATTTTGTTCCAATAATTGCAGTAGATACTGCAACTTTAAAAAAACCAGCCAACTTCTAGTAAAGCTTTCTAAGAACAAATGTGTCTTTCTAGTATTAAGATTGGATTCTAAACTCTCAGTATTATCCACTGGATGTTATCCACATATGCACTACTGGACATGCTTTAATTTGGGACCAGTGCTGGCTTTTCCATTGATGGGTTCTGTTGAGCCTAAAAGTTGAGCTTTTGGCATAGATTTGTAGCATCTTTAGCTTCTTGTGCATTAACACAATGAAATCCTATAAATACATCAAATTATTTGGTACATCATACGTTTGTTGCATAATACAATAGAACGAATACAGCAACTCCATTATCAAAAATTACTGTCTCTGTTAGGAACCAGTTTCAAAGGTGAATTAGAAACGTCTCTCAGCTTAAGTAGATGCTGTCCATGGAAGGATGATCAACAAAGAAACCATCACCTGGATGAAGTGTGTGTTTCTTTGAACGTTCAGTTTGTACTTTGGCCTGCAGCTTGTTCTGCCCAGGTTCTGTGTTACTGCTGTTGGTGACTGCTGGTGGTGTTAACCACTGTGTTTCCACGGCAGGGAGTCAAGAGGAAAGCGGTGTCTGAGTACCAGTCACACGATGACAGCTCTGAAAACTCTGACTGTAGTTTTCCATTCAAATATGCGTACGGTGTGAATGCATGGAAGCACTGGGTAAAGTCTCGATATTTAGATGAAGAGCTTCCAGAACTAGAGGAACTGAAATCAAGTAAGTGTTTCCACAAGTCTGGCATCCAGATTCTTATTTGGTAGGGAAAATTGCTCTACTCGTATGATTCTCAGCTGGGATTTTTAATAGAAGTTGTCACATGTCCCTAATGTTCCCACCATGACTGAGATTATTTTATCACAGAGCAGCCAAACTCTTTTTTTTTCTAGTTTTCCCTGTTTGGTTCAAAATGCTGGGTGTCACACTTCTCATGCCATCTAGGACAACACCATCCTGGATCTTCTGACTTTCTGTGACCATTTTGATTTTTTTAGTTTGCATCCTATTTTTCCTCATATTCTAACCTCAGAATTCACATAATTTCTGGACTTCTAAATTGCAAGGGAGGGATATCCTACTCTTTTTCCTGGAAAATGATCTTCATCTAAGGCTGGCATTACCTGGCTGTGGAACTCTGGCACAAGGTGACTTTCAATCCTGTGGAGCCTTACTACTCTTTCTGCAACATTCCTCTCTGTGTACATTTATACTGTGACAGAAGAGGGAAATCGCTGCTACTCTTGCTGTTCTTCACCTCCTACAAGCATCTTAGCACCCTTATGTTATGCTGTTGGATCTTTGGAAACTGCTGTTTCCCCTGAAGGTGCCTCTCTACACCATTGTCTTCAGCATCTTGGTCTGCTTCTGTATCATCCTCAGCTGTGCATGACAGTACATTTGTTAGCGAGTGTTACTGCATTTGGTTAACTAGACTTTACTCTGATAGCCTTGTTTATTTTAATACAAAGCTAACATTTTAACTACTTAGTACATTTTAGTCTTGTTCACTGGTTAGTGGAGAGGACATCAAGCCTGTTTCTCACTTTCCAGCCAAAAAATATCCCATCTCACCCTCACTGTGTGATAATTCTGTTGTATAATGTAGCATTTTTTCTCTATTTTACAGTAAAGTCTGTGAAATTAAAGGAAGATCTATTATCACATACTTCAGCTGAGTTAAACTATGGGTTGACACATTTTGTCAATGAAATTCGAAGGCCAAATGGAGAGAACTATGCACCTGACAGCATCTATTATCTGTGTCTTGGGATTCAGGAGGTTAGTAGAGGCTGTAGAGATGGGAAATTAAGCTGCTGATTTGACTGTAACCCATTTCAGTGGAAGAATGGTTGATAACATGGATTTACTGGCTAGGAGCTATTCTTAATATATGGCTATGATCTGGAACACAGGCTGCTCTGTAAATCACATTGTAGAAAGATGTCTGTATAGGAAGCAAGTTTGCAGACCCATCCTGAAAACTCAAATACAAATTGGTATATTGTAATAATTTTAATATTCTTACTGGCTTAAAGCAAGTAATTAGCAGTCAAAAATTACATAGTTTTTCCAAATGCTGTGCTTCATTTTGTTTGCTAAAGATGTCTAATGTAAAAACAGAATGAAACAAGGCATGATCTGTAAAAGTTTTACTAATTCAGTTACTTAACATATAGTGGAAACAAGCTAATTGAAGTGTCTTTTGGGGAGGGTCTAATTTACTGAATATTGCAGACTGTGAGCAGTCAGGATAGAGTGCAGGGAACTGCTATATTGGCTGTCTAACACACAGTAAGATAGAAGGAATTTAGGTTAGATGTAATGTATGTGAAGGCAATAACTTATATCATTAGATAATTAGAAAAGCTATTCCACAGCTTAGCTTTTAAGCGGGGGATATCTTAATTTTTGATACTTAAGGCAAAACACAGGTGGAATAAGCAGTGTTCAGAGCTGAGAGCACAGAAGATTTCATTCAAGGCAATAAAAAATGCATATGATGTGGAAAGCAAGCTGTTCACAGGGCTTGCAATCCTACTTAAACTGTTCCATACTTGAGGCAGAGGACTTGAATCAAGTAACAAATTTTTTAATTGAAATATTTTTAAACAATATCTCCACTAATTCTTCTGTGTTGCAAGTACGCAAAATTAAAGAGTTTATTTATATTTTTACATCATGGTTGAAATTTGACAAGCGATCATTCATTTTAGTCAATGGCTTTTTAGTCAATATTGCTGCAAGGCGTGTTTCAAATTCAGCTAGCTTTCTGCTTCTGCACTTGCATGATACACTGTCTCTCTGTATCTTTCTGTTGAATTGAAAATACTTGTGTTAAGCTGATAAACAATACAGAGAGTGAGGCATGTGTTTATAAAATGAAACTCAAATTATTGTTGGTTTTTTTTACCTTTCTCTTTATGCCTTTGACATAGTCTATTTTGTCAGTCATGAAAGCTAGTTATGTGTGAAACTTTTTTTTTCAGCTCTTCAGAACCATAGTTTGTGTGGCACAACACAATTATTGTGTGTGGCACATACAGAGTGCTGGAACACTAGTGGAACAATGTGTGGTCACTTAATTATTGCTTATACTTAGTGTCCAGTGTTTAATTCAGGTGATGTTAACAGGCCTGATTAGTTGTCCAAATTGTGCCACTGCTGTTTGGACTGGTAGGAAGACATGCCCTGTTCTGATGAGTTTGCATTTCACAAAGGCAGACAGCAAGTGAGGTACAGAAACATGTGAGCATGTGAGCTGTCAAGGGCTGCAGCCATCTTCTGTGTGCTAATGGCAAATTGTACATATTGGGGTGTGTGTTACCCTTCTGAAGAAACACGTTTAAACAAGATAGTGATACACTAAATGCAATGTAGTTGTCACAATGTACAACAAAACTCCATTGCCTTCTATAATTTTCCTAGTCTTTTTTTCTATCTGTGTGGGTACCCCTGAAAGAGAATAAATTGTCTACTACTGCATGAAAGGTACAGGCTTTGAGGAGAGGCTCAGAGGAGATTAAATGATGCCATTTAAGGATGAAGTTGTGCCAAAAATCATCAATACTTTGCTAATTTAGAGTAAGTTTCTCTTCAAAGGAAGAGAATGTAGGAACCATAGGTTAGTAAAAAAAGTACTTTTCCCCTCCACCAGAATTACTGCACTCACTGTGGCTTAATGCACATGCAGGTTGGAGCTTTTCCTCGTGGGTGTAATGTGGTTTGAGCATAGGTGAAGTGCCCAGGAGCCTTCAAGACCTAAGTTGGTGGTTTTTGATTTTGTGAAATAACTTTTCCTGAAGGAAGCATTGTAAAATCTGTTCCAGGAATCTGGTCCCTGAGTCAGATAGTGCAGTCTCTCAGTTCAGGTTCATTTGCAGCTGAAATTGTTCTGTTTTCAGACAGAAGTGGTTCAATAATGGTTCTTGTAACTCTGAAGTACTGATCCTGAAAAATATCACACTTAAAGGTTGCCGCATGGTCAGGCAGGCATCTAGTAGAGAGGGTTCATCTAGAAAAAGGTGTTAGTATGCTGGTGCTCCTCTGCTGCATCATGGCCTTCATTCTTTGTCCCAGTGTAGATTGGGATTTGGGGTTTGTTTTCTTTGTATGTCTGGTAATGGGGGTGTTTGGGCAAAATTCAGGCTGATGGAGTTGGCAGATGTTTGTCTGAGGGTGCTCTGGGCAGTGATTCAACCTGTTCTTCTCTGTGGGATTCGGAAGCCCATCCAGCCAGTTCCTTCCTTTTTGCTGCAGTTACAGTAGAGCTCATCCCAGGTGGGAATAGCCTATGCTAATCCTGCTTCCCTTTGAGTTAGTAGAGTAGCAGAGCACAGTGTTGCAGTGTGGGAATGAAGGTTTGCAGATGCATGTTGAGTGTTATGTTGCAGTCTCCCCTGCTACACGACACTGTTCTTCTTTAGACTCTCTAGTGCTGCTGGTCCAGAGTGCTTCACAGATTTCTACTGGGGATGTCAGGGTTTTAGCCAAGCACTTATTCTGAACCAGGAAACAGAAATATTTTTAGATGAGTTCTCACAAGCTTTTGTGTGAATTGGTTTTGTTCTGATTTTCAGTCTGATTTCATTTTCACTGCCAGCATTCAGTGTGAGCGTTTAATGCAAACCAGAGAAAAACAAATATTCATGGAGGGGCAGACTCCGTGAAGCTTCTAGTAAGCTATATTATCTGGTTTAGAATTGCTTTATGAAACTAGTACTGGTATATGTAAAAACAAGCACATTTGGGGGAATATTGTGCTTTGAAGAGTTAGTTAAATGTATTGTATAAAATAGTTATCTAAATGAAGGAGTTGTGTTGGAGACTTCTAGGAAGTGTATTCATTCATTTTTCTGTATTATAAATCTAAATGCAAAAATAAAGAAGCCAAGATATGCTGGACTGTGACCACCTAGTGTTTAATGAGTGCTGTCTTTAATGCTATTTCAAATATGTGTACAGAAATAGATGCCATTTTCAGAAATGAGTACATTTTTTTGTCTGTCACTTTTATTGTATTCACTAACAGGCTTGTTCATGCAAAGATAACACTGAAGTGGAAAATTTAAGAAGCCAATCCTCTCTATTTTAGAAATGTCTCCAGAGAGGGTAATGTCAAATACTGGTACAGCCCTCAGCCAGTAATTCTTGGTAAAGGTTTAAAAGTGTTTCTGTCTGTAAAGTCAAGAAGGTTAAGATAATTAGATTGCAGAATAGGCAAGTGCCTTGCACCATCCTGTCATTTTTCTTGCACTGCTGCATGTCACTGTGGGGTGTTTCTTGCTCCCACTTTTTGTTGTAGATGCTTTTGTCACTGTCTGGAGTTCACATTTAAAATGGCCAACTCTTGCTAGGTATGGGGTTTTCTTCTTTGAAGACCTAGGTGGAGGAAAAGATAAATAAGTTGTTTGTGGTTTGGTTTTTTTAATGACTCCCCATTCACTGATACTATGTTGCACACAAGAAATCTTAGAGAAAAATGTTAGAGTTGTAATTAAACTATGATTCATATCCAGTTAGGAATTTACAACATATATTATATTGGAGGTAACTTTTAACTGTTAAATATTGGAAAAGTGGCATAGCTTTATTGTTAGATACTCTTTTTCAGTACAATGCTTGCGCATTTATTAAAAAAAGAGCCCTGTACCACAGGAGTTGTTCTAATCTGGAATCATAAATGCTGTGTCTCTCTCTCTTTTCTGTAGTATTTATATGGAAGCAATCGAAAAGACAACATATTTATTGATCCAATCTACCAGACGTTTGTCCAGGAATTAAATAAAATCCTTAGAAGTTGGCAACCAAGCATACTTCCAGATGGTAATTTTCTTTTCAGTGATGTATGTTTTTCATCTCTTAATAGTTCTGTATTCTTAAGCACACACATATATATATATATATGTATATAAAAACATTTTATGCATTGCGATAGTAACTGATGAAGAATTATGAAGATATCATCTAAGATTTCAGTTAAGGCTGTACCTGTTCTTTTTATCTGGTTTCTGGGTAATCCGTGCTACAAGAGTTGATTTTGCCACTGCCTGTTAAAATTGACTATCCGTTTTTAGGAGAGAAAGTTAGAATAAGCTCTTTGACCTGTAGGTTTTTTTTCTGGTCCATTTTTTTCCCAGCAGGAAGCAGACAGGCAGGCAGTGGGCTATGTGTTGGTAGGGCTAACAAGTGATGTATTTTGACCTTTCTTGGCTGGATTAGGAGGACTCTCTGATGTGGGTCTTCTGCTCAGGAGGATCGTCAGTTCATGGAGAAAGCAAATTTTCCCCAGCAGATAAATGTTGGTGCTGAACTGGAGAATCAACTGTTCTTCCATCTTTCTCACAATCCTCTCTTGAGTGAGGGATTGTCCTTGCAGATGCTTTCCTCTCTCTTTTTGATATTGGCTTCTCTCTGTATAGCTCTTGAGAGGCTCTGTATTGGGTCCTTCCTGTACCCTGTTAATGATCCTTGTCAAGGAGTGCTTTCCATGTGAGATATTCATTAGTAGTAAGAAAGTATGCTATTTGGAGGCCTTACCTGAGCAGAATAAAATTAACTCAAAAATATGCTTTTTATGAGGGAATTAAGATTACCCCCTGAGCATTTATTTTTATGTAATAACATGAGGGAGCTGCGTGTCAGCAGTGATGTTGTAATTAAACAGAAATGTGTTCCCTGTGAAATTACCTATACTGATATTTCCCATTGACTGTCTCAGTGAGTGTCTATGTCTTTAAGAGGTGGTTTTGGGGGTACGGACATATAATTAAACATGTTTATTAGAGACTTCTGTCATGAGCATTTTGTTACGTTTCACAGTAAACAGAAACTTGATTTTTTGCACCTGGACAGTTTATGGGCTAATTCATTGTATTTTCTCCAATATTCTTTCTTTTCCAAGGATCAATATTCTCTCGAGTTGAAGAAGATTACCTTTGGAGGATTAAACAGCTAGGATCACATTCACCTGTTGCTCTTCTGAATACTCTGTTCTACTTTAACACTAAATATTTTGGCCTGAAAACTGTGGAGCAGCACTTAAGGCTTTCTTTTGGCACTGTTTTTAGACAGTGGAAAAAAAATCCGCTAACAATGGAAAGCAAAGCTTGTCTTCGATATCAAGTGTCTTCCCTGTGCAGAGCTGATAGTGAAGGTACTATAACAGTTGAAAATTAGTATTGCTCTTCTGAGGAATGTCTGGGCATCTTGCCTTGAGCTGGAGCTTTACCTTTGCATAAAGTTTAGCAGCTCTCAGCTCCCAGATCTCTAATCGGAGTGTGTGGTCCATGGAGACTACAGGGTCTCTGCACTAAGTGATCTCTTTGAGCCCACTGGTCTCTCTGTAAAATGCTGTGACTTTGCTGTGGCTGTGGGTGGCATTTCCAGTTTGCAGATATGCATAGTTGTGGTGGGCTGCCTGCACTGGGATGTTTACTGAAAATTGTAAACTAACTTCAAGTTATATCTTAGATGTTCTTGATTTTCTTCTTAAAGATAAAATTACTACTGGAAAAAGGAAACATGAAGATGATGTACCAGTATTTGAACAAATTGAAAACACGTCTGATCCAGCTAGATGCCCTGTGAAAATGTTTGAGTGCTATCTGTCTAAAAGGTAAGCATGATACAGGGTAGTACAGAAGGGGTCTAGACTAAAACAGATGCAGAAGGGAACTGTTTTGTTGCAACATGAAATGCACTCAAGCAAAGGGAATGGATTGAGATCATCTGAAAAATACCTAAATGAAAGTATTGAAATCTCCCATTCTGTACCTGGACAAGATGGGCAGAAGATGTGGGAGCAGCAGAGTACTTCGAAAATGGCAGTACAATTCAATTTTCTTATCTGTGAACACCAAGTATCTCTGCAGAGAATTACCAGCAAGGCATCTGGTAGGTTTTGCTGCTGAGGGTTTTGTTTGTGAGGTCCTCATCTCTTCAGTAACAATTGGATTGAGACAATGGGTTTCCTGCATTATAAGTTATCAGGAATCTGAAATGTAGATGCTTTTGAGATACCAAGTGTGAAAACATGTTTGTAGTATTTTGTCCTAGGAAAAGTTCTATGGATGGTAACCCAGCATTTAGAAATAGCTTGTTTCCTTCCAATCTGCGCAATTAATTGTGCAGGAAGGAAGCAGAAATTAATACATTAAAAAAAAAAAACTTAGGCAACTCCTAAAAGAATTAATTTAGTAGCTAATTGTTTTGGAAGCTTGAAAATGGGATTCCTTGGGAAATATGTTCCATTATTTGTAACAGCCATTCAAGTGACTGATTTTAATGTAGATTTTATGTAGCTCTAAGGGAAATATAGGCAAGTGATACCAAAGAAATAAAGTCACCTTGTATATACAACACAATAAATGAAATGAAGTATGAGACCCAACATGCATTAGGAAACAGCATCTTAGTCTTAAAGGTGAAGAAAGCGCTTACACACAGCATCAGTGGAAGTGCAATTATGTTGTGTTATAGAGAGAAACAATTAAAGAGTAGCTTGTGGTCTGTTAATGCAACCACCTGTCTTTGATAAACTCAGTTAATTCTGATTGTTGCAGGAGGATTTTGCCTTCACTGTCTACTGTCATGGTTTGGAGAGGATATGTTGTTAAAGAGTTGAAGATGGATTTTTTAACTGAGTTACACAGCCACTATGGGAGAGAGAACACATAATTCTTTTTTTCTTTTAGAAACATCTCAATTTTGGCGAAAAGAATGCACTTAAAGCCATTTGGAGTGTCATTTATGGTGTGGTTTCAAGTCATGGTGTCTTGCACACATTGGTCACCATTGCTGACTAAAGGAGCAGACTGCTTCTCCTGGTTCTGCTTCTAATAACGTACAGCTTGTATCTTTGTTGAAATAATTCTAACGAAGTATTTAACACTTTAAAAAGTATTGTAAAATTTTAGGCAATGCCAGCTGATTGAAATATACTTGGCAACCAGTGAACAACTGCAGCTGAAATTTCAGGATGCTTTCATTCAGAGCTATGAACACCATATCATTGTCTCATTAGGTCTCAAGCTGTGCCAGGGAAGGTTAAGGCTGGACATTAGGAGGAATTTCTTCACAGAAAGAGTGATGAAACATTGGAATTGACTGCCCAGGAGGGTGGTGGAGTCACCATCCCTGGAAGTGTTTAAGGAAAGACTGGATGTGGTACTTAGTGCCATGGTCAAGCTGACACGGTGCTGTTCTGTCATAGCTTGGACTCTGATCTCAGAGGTGTTTTCCAACCTAATTGATTCTGTGATTGCTTGTTCCTATAAAAATAATGGCTTTTCAAGAAAGTAGGAAGGAGGTTCAGATATTACTAGAATATTTTAAACATGCATATTTGGTTCTTATCTGACTCTGATTTATGTGAGAGCAGAATAAGCCAACATTTACCCTAGCAGGTGAAGAGCAATACTTAAAATCTCATCAGCCAGTTTGGGAAGGTGAGCTGGTAAAAATTCTTAATTTTACTGAAGAAATGTGAAATGGAGTTGACTCCTGAGATCTACAGCATTTGTGAAGGAGGGAGCATGAGTGGGCACTTGCATATACAGAATTGAAAATTCTTTTCTGAGACTTGCCTAAATGGACAAAATGCTAGAATTTCCTTAAAGGAGCCTTTTCTAGTGGCTTAGAGGATGTTTCTGAGCTGGATCGAACTCCATAGTATGGTTGGTAAGGAATTAAGCAATGAAGATTTATAACAACCAACCTTTTAAGTAAAATAGGAGGAGGGGGGATTTTAGCTTGTTGTATTTCTGAACATCTCAGAACTACCATCCTTGATTTTTCAGGAGAACCCCAGGCTCTAATTCAGAGATAGCCTTATCAGCCAGTGATTGTGCGAGCAATTACTGATGTCAGTGTTGGGCCTCTTTGCAAATCGTAGAAAGTACTTTCTGGTTTAACAAGTCCTGGATCTGCAGATTTTTGAAAGCTGGAAGAGTCTGTGGTCTCTCGTATGCTTGCGAAGTCCCAGGCACCTGGGACTCTGAGGCTGCTCTGAGGATGTGGGATCGACTGGGCTTGGGCCAGACCTGGCCATGGCTCCTTCTGTGAGCAAGACTGCATTTCTCCACAGTGTAACTTGCCTAGGTGCAGTTAAAGTTTTGTTTGATCAGGATTTTGGAATTGCTAGTGTTCTGTTTTGTCCTGTGAGGCTGTTTTTCTAACCCCCTTTTTTTAACCTCCTTGTAGCCCACAGAATCTGAATCAGAGGACAGACATGTTCTATCTGCAACCAGAGTGCTCTGTCTCCGCGGAGAGTCCCATCTGGTACACTGCCACTTCACTGGACCGCAACACTTTGGAAAATATGCTCGTACGGGTTCTTTTAGTAAAAGATATTTATGATAAAGACAATTATGAACTGGATGAAGACATAGATTAAAACAAACTTCCAAAAAACTGTCAAGAAAACAAACAGCATTAGATATAGTCATGCTGCTAGACCTTTACTATGGAAAACATTTCAAGTTTACCCTTTGTTTTATGAGTTTTGTAGCAGTGTGTACCCTAACGTGGGTATTACCATGTAAATAGTCTGTGAGTGAAAGTTTCCATTATTCTGTGTAGAGGTTTTAGGATACATAACAAACACATTTCAGATTTTCTTTTTTTATTATTTATTTGATTAGATATGTTTGTAACTTTTTACATTGCGAAATATGAATGAGAATGTGCCATGTGTATTTTTTTTCCCCCTTGTAGTACAAGACATCCATGTTGCACAACTCTGCTGTTGGAAGCTCTCACGAAAGGAGGCTCTTTTAATAGCTTCTTAAACTGGATGGTTGTGTATGGGTAGCACTACTAAAGTTTAGAACTTGCTGTGTCTTTCAGAATTTTTAAATGAATTGTAAACTAATAGGTTTTTTACTTTTTAGTTACTGAAGCCTTATGAGGTTATGTAGAGAGATTCCATCTTATGTACCAAAAACAGACAAAAGAGAATGCTGTCAATATTGGTGTACTGTAATGTGAATCTATTCTGGTGAAAACATTTTTTGTTGCCCTTATTAAAACCCTAGTGTCCTTTCGTTATTTGTGACTCTCTCTCAATTGCCCCTGCAAATAAAAAATATATATACAAATAAATGAATATAAGCTTAGAGCATGGGGTCATCAAGACATGTATTTTGTAAAAAAGAAAACTAAAACCAAAAACCCCTCAAAAAAAAGGAACAAAAGAAAAAGAAAAAAAAGTCTGATGACAATGCTGTATAATCCTTTTTCATCTTTTCCAATCATAGTTGCCAGTACCTCATATTAATGTAAATTTGTCCTTTGTAGCCTTAGAAAAAGGGGTTCTCTACTGTATTACATGAAGTAATACGGTATGCTAAATTTTTAACCTTTGTTTGTCCTTGCATTGCTGTATTTAAATACAGGCAATACTTGACTATGGGTGGGAAAATTCTTAACTGATGCCTCCATTCAAAAGCCATATGAGATGTGAAGTTACAGAAAGTCGAAAGACAATTTTTCTTGAAGAAAAGTCCTTTTGTTTGTTTATATCCTCTTGTTGTACTTACTTTGCATAAGTAGTCTTATTTCCAGATACACATTTAACTGCTCAAGTTTTGTTATTTGCTCTTATTTAACTGATGCAAACAATATGGTGGTTCAAGCAATGGGTTTGCTATTGTACTGAAAAAAATGTAGTAGAATATTCTACTATAAAGTAGTCATAAGTTTAAGTCTCTCCTAAATGGCATTAGCCATCTACTAAAGGAGAAAGTTTCTATGTATATATATTACCGCCCGAGCATTAATTTCTTGCAGAGGCTGCATGGCTTTTTCATTTTCCTTAGCTTAGAGGATTACACATAAGGACGCATCTTTCTATACAGAGAAATAAAGCTTCAGTTGCTTTGTTTTGTTAAGCAAGTTTATTTAAATTTCTGCTATTCTGGTGTGTCTGTGAGTATGTATTAATTTTAGATATACTACTATTTCAAATGGAGATGAAGATTTACATGTTTAATTTTTCATTTCTTTCTGGTGGCATTACCCTTCCTGTGAAGTCAAGAAATACTACGCAGCACCAGTGAGTAGATCACTAACAGCTTCAATGCACTTCTCCCTCTGTGAGTGAATACTTAGTTCATTAACACTTGGGTTTTTTTTTTCAAACAGCAGCCATAGAATGTGCCCATGATACATAAAAGTGATGAAATCAGGAATTGTAGTCATTGTTTTGTTCTGGTGTCCCCAGCTTTTTTAGCACCTGAATTGACCATAAGTTAAATTTTACATATGGGAGTTGTTACTAACTACCTGTATAAAATGTATCATGTGCGTAACTTGAAATACTTCATTTAAACACACCTTTAAGTGTTTTGATAAATAGCAGTAAGGATCACTTGCAGCCCCTTCTCTACAGTTCAGACTTCAGATACTTCAACAGGGGCTTCAGTTGCTCCCTGATTACAGGAGTGTTTAACCACAAATACACTCTTGTAAAACTGCGAACTTTTAACAGGAAGCTGAAGTATATTTGTTGAGTGTTTTGTCTTAAACAGAATTTTAAATTCTGGTTCTCAAAATCAGATTAAAACTATTTCTTAAATAGTAACGTCAGTCTTTAGTGTGGCATGTTGAAGAATGTATAGACATTTTCAGCATCATTAGGAAATAAAAAATGCTTTCTAAGGGTTATAAGAAATCACGTTATTGTTCTAAATTCCTCCCATTTTCTACCCAAGATTCATCTGGGAAAAAATATCCAAGTTAGGTCTTGAAATAGAAGGTTTTACATATAGATCCGTGTTGGAAATATAAAGATGGTTTCCAAGAACAGAACTTTTATTCCAGAAGATGGAGCTATTCCATCATCAGCAATAATGTTTTTCAAGTGGTTCGTGTGTTCAGATTGAACGTTGTAAGCTGCAAAGGTACTGCAGTCAAGTATGCATCATGGTTCAATGTATGCATTTTATTTGAACCATGATGCAGAATGCAATAAAAGACCTTAGTTCTGAAAAAATAGAGACATGCAATTTTATAATAATTAGGAATTCAGGGCAAATACTTTTTCTTTGTAAGAACTGTCAGCAACTGGATTAGAATAAGGTTGGTGCCAAGGAGTTAGATACACATTGTTATGCAGGACAGTATTTGATGCCTTGTTCTACACAGGCACACAGCTTTCAGGTTATTGATGTGTATCAAAAACCTGCCCTCGCTTTCCCCCTTAAGAGGGTGTGAAGTGGCACCTTGGCTGTTCTGGCCATCCCTGTGAGCTCTGACAGAGCTCACCTGAGAAGTGTAGTGTGGGGACTATATTGCTCTTTCCACACAGAGCCCTGCAGATGGTCCTGGCAATGCAGTTCAGTCCAGGCAGGGGTTTCCTGATTTCTCCAGTCATGCCAGCATGTGCTCTGCATCTCCTTGGTTTGAGACCGAGTCTTGAACAATTCTCAGGTGAAGTAGTAGCCTTAAGACATTAAGGAAATTAGACAGCAGCGGTAAGCAAATTACACAGAAAATATAGTTCAGTGTGAGAAATAGTGAAAAAAATCATGCAATTTTCAGAAAATAAATTTACTTTGTTAGTCATCTTTCTTTTTGTAAGTAATTGTGGTCATTCATTGAGGAAAATGGAGCTTTTTGTAATTAGTGAACTAAGCATAAATTACGACAGTTAATTTTTATTGAACAAAAAGTTGTGGTGTAATTTCAATGTGTACAATATTAATTACCTTTAAAGTACTCACAGTGGGATTCTATCATGCAGCAAAATTTTTTCTCTTGGTATCTATGATTCTGCCTCATGAGAGGCTGTGTGAATAGGTGGGGAAAACAGAAGAGGTGGTCCATAAACCTTGCAGTCCCAAAAGGAGGTGGTGTGCAAGATGGAAAAGGCATGAGTGGTGGTAAGCACTCACCTCATATCCATTTTTGCTGACCTTTTTTATTATATAGAAGGCTGTTACACTTTCCCGGTTTTGTCTGTTAGTGTTAGGAGTGGCAGTTAAAGATTTTCATTTCCATTTTTTTAAACATTCACTTTTCAGTTTGTTATGCTCATGTTGTGCATTATGTCATGCGTGTTATATGTAGGACTGAGTATGATGCAGAGTAAGTGGAGTGGGAGTTTAAGTTACTGAGACTTAAGAGGGTGTTTGGTCATCATATGTGAAATGAGTCTCTGGATTATAACAGCAAAGGTTAATGATGTTTTGGAAGAATTAAAGATTGAGTTACCTTTTGTTTAGAGTTAGAACTAAGCCACTGGGTCTGTGTGTGTCTCATGAGGGTTGTGAGTGTGGTCGCAGCACAGGACACGCTGTCACCCAGGGCTCGGTTAACTGTGGGAATTTCCCATTTCTCAAATGAGAAATAAATCTTTCCTCTGGCAGCTTTTGAATTTGAAGTGTTGAAAGCTGAAAGCCTCACCACACAAGCCACGGCACAGATGCTTGGAACCAGCACGTAATGGGGCACATTGCTTCAAAACTTGGACTGGTGTTAGTGTCTGTGACGCTAATGAGGCATCTCTGTGGACACCCGTGAGCACGGCAGGCATTTCACAGCTGCACAGAGATGATGTGGGGATTAGTGCCTGCACGTCATGCTACTCCATTGGAGCTGGCAACCACTGGCAAGCGGCTCAGCCTTGGCAGGGCCCCAGCTCGCTGTGGGCACTGGTGGGCAGTGCTCCCCCTCTCCTGCTCGCAGTCAGGGCAGGACCTGCACTGTGCATGGGGTGTCTGTTGTGCTCTTTCCTTTGCTATCAAGGAGCTCCCATCACTTCAGAGTTCCTTGCTGTTGGTCTGTGGTGGTAAATGTGTGACTACAACATGAGCCAAGTTCATGATTCCTCAATATGGCATAATTGCACCTTAACATTACCTTTACAAAAGCCTCCCCTCTCCCTAGGCCAGCTCTTCACCCAATTCTCCAAGGCAAAATACCAGAATGGATTTGAGTGAGACACTAGTGTAATAAAGAGCATTGGGATGCAGGGGGAGACATATGTGATGACCACTATACAAGCTAGTGGTGGGCAAGGGGAGTAAGTAAATTCAATGGGAGACAGGACAGAGAAGATTGGCTGTATCCACTTTGAACAACTAATGGGGTTTAAAAAGTTGCAGGGTTAATATGTACCGTGGTGAGGCTTTCTGAGCTTGTGACACCTCTTAACAACTTCCCACATAGCCTGGCTCGAAGGTTTTCACCCAGCAACTGCTGTACGCCATCGGTGGATGTGGAAATGAGGTATGTATTTAAAAGGGTTTAGTCTGGCTAGTTTTTATTTTCAGGATATTGATGTGTTGCTGTTTCCAAATACAGATGTCTGGAAAATACTTCCTCACCCAAGAACTAATGTCTTTATGGAGTAAAGCCACTGGTATAGCAGTCATGGCACATTTGCAAGTGCATAATTTCAGTAGGGAAGGATGTTGTCAACTCATTGTATTGTGTCCCAGGTACCCGTGAGGTATTGTGGCACTTCTAATTGTTTCATCAAATGTTTTTCTATCTCCAGTGTGCTTTTTTACTTTTATGGGTTTTTTTGGGTTTTGGGGTTTGTTTGTTTGTTTGTTTGTTTGTTTTTTGTGAATTGAAAGGAGAAAATCTTTGAAGATCACAGAGTTCTTGGAAAAATCCTTCAAGGACACAATCGGTCATTTCCTCTGTTGCTGGCAGGAGGATGTGAGAGGTGGCTACTGGCAAGGAGCCATACAGTAGCCCTCTTGTTTGTCATAGCTGGGAAAAACTATGGCATGACTGCCCAAACTCTGCTGTTCCCTTCATGAAGCATGGTTTTACCCATGTAAACTCGTGTTGGTGGCAGCCCTGGAAACACTTCTGAGCAGAGCAGTTTTTGCAGATGTTCACAAAAAGCAAATAGAAAAAAAAATTACAAGATACAGCTCAACTTTGATTTCTTATTCAAGTACTTTTTCAGACTCCAGGGGTGTGAGTATCCACGGGACTCAAACATGATCTGAGTTTTGCTTTCTCTGAAATGTGGCATTTCCTGGAGAAGTGGCTCTTGGTGAGGGCCATTTCTGGCTGCCACCCTGCCTTGG